ACTTAGCACTATTGAGCTGTGTACTTAAAAATGGTGAAGATGGGACATTTTTGCCAGGTGTGGTGGTGCACACCTGTAATCCCAGAGACTCAGGAGGTTGAGGCAGGAGGATTGAACATTTGAAGCCAGCCTCTGCAACTTGGAGAGACTCTGCCTCAAAAGAAAAAAATTAAAAAACAGGCTGGAGATATGGCTCAGTGGTAAAGCACCCCTGGGTTCAATCCCTAGTACCAAAAGAAAAATATGGACATTTTATGTTATACACTTTTTTGCCACAATTAAATTGACACTCCATCCTTTAAAAGGTAGAGCAAATTCATCTCCCATTGAATGCGAATAGTTATTTGTTTCTAATGAGGACCTTGGCAGAAGTAACAAGATGTGACTTCTATGAAGGTCAGAGAAGTCATCGCTGCTTTGCTTTATTCGCTTTTGGATTTTGTGGAGAGAAGTGGATCTTCCAGTCCCAGCCAAAAGCTTTTGATGACGGTAGCGCTGGTTGATATCTTGATTTCAACCTCATTAGAGACTCTGAGTTGAAAGTTGTCCCACTAAACTGACACAAGGAAACTAAAGAATGATTAGCCTCATCTTAAGTCACTAGATTTGGGGATAATTCATCACTCAGCAAAACAGACGAAGTATTTTGTACTCATCTGAAGCAGGGAAGATCTCTGGTGTGTGAGGAGGCGCCTCATGCCTTTTTGCTGGTTTGTGGTTTTGATGATGTGCATGTGGTCTATCCTGAACATGGGCTCCAAGTCAGAATTTGAGTGCTTTATGTGGATTTTCTGCGACGCCAGCCTGAAGAACTGCGTCCAGGAACTGCTCCCTGAGCCCGGAGTACTACTGCTGGATTTCTCCGAGTTCCTTTATCATCTCTCTTCTTGTGGCATCAAGTCCATGGGGGATTCTCATTGCAAGTTTTGTCCCATATGAACCAGTGAGTTTAGATACCAGGGGTCACATCCCAGTATCAATATTTTTTATTCACGTATGTGAAACCGAAAGGGCATAATAGCAATATATCTGGGAAACATCCAAAAGGCCAGTGAGAAAGAGAAACTCAGCATCACCTTAACTGGAAAATGTTCAGGTCCACCCAGCAGTGCCATTTGGGAATAGCTTTTCCCTTGGTGGACTACATAAATTTTATCTTTCCCTTCTCCTAAGTGTAGGGATTAGGTTATAAATTCTGAAGGAGGAGTGATCTCACTCACTGGTACTCTGGCTGCATAAGGACTGCATTGCCTCTTAGAACTTAAGAGAGGCCTATGGATATAGTCTTACTGTTTTAAAATATTCACTCATTTAAAATGAATGAACTAATTCCTATTTATGAACTCTTTGGGTGGGGAGAAAGGAACTTCCCCAGATTTTAAATTTGTAATAAAGGCATTTTTTTCCTTAAAAACAAAGTTTTTGCAAATGGTATCCTTTTTTAAAAAAAGGAAATATAAGCTCTCTAAATTTTAGCTTATTCATTGAGGTTATATATGAAGGCTGAGGGAGCCTAAGGCTACAAACTGAGATTTTTTTCTCCTAAAATTCATGCTCACTTTCAATAACATAATGAAAATTATGTCTTTCATCTAGGGATAAAGAAGCTGATTCTAAGAGAGGTTAAGTTCATGGTTATACTGCTGTCTAGTATCCAAATTCAGTCATAAATCTCAGTCCAGTTCATGTAAAAACATGGTGTTGTGGGACTTTCTTATTTAGATAATGTCCTTGGTGAAGCTCTTGAGATATACATTTGAATGAAGTAATTACAGAGAAACTATCCAGGCCTTGAGAAAATATGTTAAGTCCTTAAAGTTAGAGTCAGATTCTTTGGTTTTTCATTGAGAACCTCAAATTCTAAAAGAGATGATAGTTTAAGGACTTTCCCCCATCAAATCACTAAACTATTGAGAAATAACTATTTATAAGAGCAAAAATACACAATTGGGTTTAATTATGTTTGCTGAGTTACATTTCTCCAACACTTTCACACACAGCAGCTCAGCAGCCTCTCTGTTCAGTAGTCACTCACTCATTCTATTTGGCTGTAAATTAAACATAGTCCTTTCCCTGAAGCCAGTCCCAGCGTTCTGCAGTCAACATGCCAAAAGTGATGGGAAAGATAATTGAGTGGTAAACAGGGGAGTTCCCACTCCAGACCCTTGGAAGACAAACTGCGAAACAGATGGCTTATCTTGGGTTCACTCCAACCTCCTGGTATCCCTCTCTCATGGGTCTCACAGGAACCTGGGCTCTCCTGTCATCCTTGGGCACACCTACCATTCCTAAGCTCTGCTCCAAAACATCTCTGCTTCTTCTCCAATTCGAACTCTCCTTCCTTTACTTTGAGAATAGGTATTTATCCATTTTACTTCTTTTTAAGGAAAAGTATAGTTCATTTCCAGCAGATGAAGGAAAGTTCCTTTATACAGAATGCTAACTTAAAAATAGAGAAGTGAAGATTGAATTAGAAAAGATCCATTTTGTACCCCCACTGACAGTTTAGACCTCATTTTAGACTCTCAAATCATTAAGTGAAAGGTTATTGGGGAATAGTATATTTTCAAGGTGTCAAAACAACATCTCACAGATTTCTTGTTCATTGCAAAGGGAAACCTACACATTTACATGAGAGACAACTGGCCATCACTACTTGAACTGTGAGATCAAGTCTCTTGCTCCCACAGGGAAGGTAGCACTATATGTCCTTGATGTGATTCGGTATGAAGTGCAATGCTACTCATGAAGTATTCTCGTTAAAAAAAATTCTAATCAATCCTTTAGGAGCATCTTCCAGTTTACCAAGAATTCAGGGAACAGAAAACAAACGCCACCATCAAGAGACAATCAGGCAAATTTAGAAAGTGACTCAATCTGTGAAGCAACTGATAGTTTCTCCTAAGATCAATGTCATTCAAATAAAATTGGGAGGGACTGCTTTAAATCAAAAGAAACTGTAACTTTGGCTCTTGGGTTTAAAAAAACTACAAAAGTATACAAGTCATCTTTGAGACAACAGAAGATTGGGATTAACCATTATCTTGGAGTTATTATTAATTTTATAGTGCATGCATTGATTAATAACTTATTGCCTGGGCTTAAGTCATTGTGCAGTATCACTTTGCAACAACAGAGTGGACTCTGCAAGCATTTCTCCTCCACAGTAAGTTCAATGCTAACCTTTGTCAATAGAGGGCGCAGGAAGGACATTGCAGGAAGAAAGGGACTTTTCCTAGTTTGGGAGGGTTGTTTTTCTTTTCTTCAGCTGTCCGGTTCCTGGGTAGTGCATGTGCATCTGGGGACATCTGGTGGTACGCTGCCTCAGCTGCATGCCCAGAGGGTGAAGTTTCTTGCTGACTTTAAAGGCCCAGTTCATGCAAGTGACCATTGTGATGTGACTTCCAGTGATGACACCATTTGTTCCAGACCTGGTGCCTGAAAAGGAGTTCAGACCTTCTCAGTACTGCTGTCTTCCAACCTTCACTCCTGGAGTCCCTGAGTTGTTTCCTTCTTGCCTGGTGACTGCAGAGTAGGCTTGGCCTGGGAAATCCAGACAACTTCTCCATCAAACATGGGCTCCATAAGGTCTGAACCCCACTGTGTTGGGCCCCCTTCTCCAAGTTGGTCCTTCCTTGGAGAGTCTCCCTCAGCTCTAGTCATTCTCTTTTACATCTTTGCAGTTGACCTCCTGTTGTATCTTAATAATTCTCCCTTAGAACACCCTCCCTTTAAATAACTATGTGGTTTTTGACTGGAACCAGTCAGATATAATATGATGCTTGTATTATGATCATATAGAAGGTTCTTATTTTTAGGAGAGTCATGCTGAAGTATTCTGGAATGAAGAAGCATCATGCTGTCTGCAAATTATTTCAAATGGCTCAGCAATATATATGTGCGTATATTGATCTATCTTTATACATGCCTGCGTATGTGTATGTATATAAATAAAGCAAGTATGGTGACATACAAAATGTTAGCAATTACTGAATCTAGCAGAAAAGCATATGTGTGTTTATGGTAGCCATTCTTCCAACTTTCTATATAATTAAAAATTTTTATAATTAAAAGTTGAAAGGAAATCCTCTCTTTTTTATGGTGTCCTTGCTTAGTGTGAAAAGGGAGAAATTCTGAGTATGATATTGAAATAATTCACTGCCAGTAGAAGGGATTGGAAGACTCAGCCCAGACCCAGAAACAACCTAAGAGGCTTTTAAAATGACAGTTCACACACAAAATAGTTTGAGTCAGAGTCTTGAGAATCTGGGTATATCAAGGGGAATTAGAATTCTACCGGAAAAACTTATTGACCATTAAGAGTGAGGGTGGGGTGCAAGGCAAACTTCTTCAGGAACATTTTGAAAATTACATGGGTTTGTTCTTAACTAAAAACTCTGTTTTTTTTTTTTTTTTTTTTTGTAGTACTTGGGGTTGAACCACTGAGTTGCATCCCAGTCTATTTTAAGATTGGTATTACTGTCGTGTGCCACTGTACCCAGCTCTGATGTACTTTCTCACCGAGGCATGCCAGGATTTGTGGAAAGGGTTGTAGTTTGAAAAATTCCTCCCCATACAGCTGACATGTCCCCTCAGCTGAAATCTACTAATCCAAATGGATTTCTAATTGATAGTGTGCGTGTCTAAGGATTTGAGCAGAACTGCTCACGGCAGGCTCTGCTAGTTGTCCAAGCCTATTCTGTCCCCAGCAGAAATATTGAGTGGCCCAGCATTAGTCAGTTCCAATCTCATTTTATAGCAAAGACACAGAGGGAAGCTTAGCCCAGTGTGGTCCCACCGATCACGGAGGTACAGACTGGCACCCGCTGTCAAACTGATATTTCTCTCACCACCTTTCATTAGTGTGACAGTTTCCACTATCAAAGCCATAAATATTTCAACCTTTCCCTTCTTCTCTCCCTCTCCCTCCCTATTCCCTCCCTCCCCCTCCCTTCCTTCTTTCATTCAGTATTATAGTGGGCACCTCGGATCCCTCTTACCAGTTTTCAGGTTGCTGCTAATGGCTGCTATTTGTTTCTTTCTTTGGAAGCTTTCTCTTGAGCTATGTAGCAGACAGACAGGAGTTTGTATTCCCTAGGATGACTGGGGAGGGAGTGTGAATGCCCCCTTGCCTCTGGGTGACGTCAGCTCTGAGTTGAAAAGCACCCTGGAGCTCCACCCAGGATTAGGCTGAGGCTGGGATTCTGCTGCCTCCCTCACTCCTTTTCTACTTCCACCATAAACCATTTGCACGTTTCCCTTACCTTGGGGTCTACTTTAGAGAACCTGATGTAGGACAAATATTTACTTTGATTTATTATAAATATTTCCTGCGTGTCTGCTCGGTGCCCAAGCTCCCATTCTAGATGCTGAAAACACATCTCCGTCTTTAAAGAGCTTTCATTCTAGGAGTGTTAGACAAACGACAAATGTGAGCCTGATGATAATAACTATCTTTTTTTTTTTTTGCACTTTTCTGTATTTTCAGGACTCTTATTTATAATGAAAATTTATTTTCTTTAGTTAGAAAAAAATCTTTAATAAATATTGTCAGAAAAAAACTCATCTTCCCCATATCCAGCTCAATCCCCCACCTAACCTAGGGCTGAGTGTCTGGCTCTCCCGCTCCCTTTTGTGGAACTCCTTCACTAATGTAGAACAGCTGTCTGATGTTTTCAAGTCTCCTACACACTCTTTTTGACACAGCGTGTGGATGACATTTCTTTTTAGCCAATATCCCCTACAGAAGCTAAAAAGACAGAATGGTACTTTCCCAGTCTCCCTTGAACTCAGGTGTGGGTATGTGTTGCAGATTCCATCATCCAGATGCATTTGCTCCACACTTGTCCTTGGAAAGTTGAGATGCTCACGAGCAGAGGCCACAAGGGACCCATGGGGTGGAGCAATACTGACAGCAGCAAATTCAGTTTCCAGAGGCAGCAACAGTGGTTCCAGGGGTGGGTGGTCTCCTTGTTGACCTTTCCTGGTGGTTTCCATGGTGGTTCCAGCAGTGATGTCTGGTGTTGACAGTGTGAGGTAAGAAAAATGTCCAGCAGCTGAGACACTGGTGTCTTCTTAAGACTGGTCCTGAGCAGTGAGATTGAGAACATGGTTCCTGGCAGTGTGGCTTCTAAGTCAGATTCTCAGCCCTGCTTTGGATTATATAAGACACCAATTATCTTTTTAAATAAAATTCTTTCCTATTTACATTAGCCAGACTTGATTAATGTGTGTAGCAACTAAAAACTGTGATAAATACATTTGGTTTCCATGTTCTTTCTTTCTTCCTCTTCTTCTTTTTTAACATCTTTTTTTAGTTGTAGGTGGACACAGTACCTTTATTTTATTTTTTTATGTTGTGCTAGGCAAGTGCTGTGCCACTGAGCCACAAACCCAGCCCTTGTTTTCCACTTTCTGATATCACTTTTCTCAAACCCTCACCATCTGAGGCCATTTCCTTTGATACTCCAGTAATGGAGAGGCATTATTCCTGTCCCTCTGCCTTAAAACCATGTCCTTTCACCACCATTCCTTAGCCACTGCTTTTTTGACCTGAACAGCAATCCACTGACTGACTTCTGGAATGAGGTCTGTATCTAGCCCCTCACTTGTATTCTCTATATCCCCTGCATTCTCCCTGGTGACTCACTGCACTTTTCTCAACTTCAATGACCTTATAGTGGTTTTGAGTGAATTAAAGAGAAACTGAAATCGGAGGGACAGGTCTGAAGCTTGCTGTGAAACCTAACAGGTCTATCAAGAAGCGAATACTCCCTTTACTGTTAATGTTGTAACTCAAACCGAAGGAGCTAAAGCTACAGAAAAGATGGCAGTAAGGGGAATTTAGAAACCTGATCAGCAATAAAAAGACGGACAGGTTGGCATTTTGAGGCTGAGTTCATAATCCAGATCTAAGAGAGATGTGTTAATATATGCAATAATACTACAATAAAGGTGGAATGGGCTCATTCTATTGACTAACAATAAAAATCAGTAGCATTTGTTACTTTATTATCCTCCGAAAAATTTAGCAATGAAGTCCCTCAGAAACCCTTAAGTGAAACTATATGTTATTTGGGGCCAGAGGCCTGGGGAAAAATTTTCTAGAATATTCAATGTTGTAGTGAAGGAGAGAAACAGGTAGAAATGCTAATGGAAATGGACCCTAGTGGGCTAAGTAGGGAGCTAGCCTCAAGTTCAAAAGCACAGTTTGCAGTGCACATTTAAGGAAGAACTCTAACTTCATTACTGTTCCTCTTGTCAACCACAGGAATCTTCCCTCTGTGAACTTTTGCATTGTGCAGCTCTGTTCTAGCTCCAGGGAATCAAACTCAGAGCTTTCTCTCTCCCCCCTACCCCCCAATTTCCTTATCTTCTGTAGTTTCCTTTATTATATCCCATAGATTCATTTCACATTCCCGGAACCCATCTTTATCTTGACTGAGTCTCCTGATGCCTCTCTTTACTCCTGCCACCTTTAAACATTTGTGTTCACTTGTTTCTCTACCAAAATTTGTCTGGAAGGTTTGTTGTTTTGGAGCTATTTTGAATCTGCTGTTTAAATGCCGTGGTCACCAATGCCAAGCCTCAGTCTTGAGTCATTCCTGTTGTCTGCTTTTAGTTAATATTGCTGCACCAATAATCATTGTTAGAAAAGACATGTTAGACAAGTGAAAAAGCATACTAATTTTATTTGTTTGGCTCTTTTCTTTCATATACTAACATTCACATGTGTCATTTTAAACGTGTGATACCCGTTTAAATGTGTCATTTTAAATGTGTGATGAGAAAGAGACAGAGAGAGCAAGAGTGCGAGGGAGTGAGAGAGAGAGGCTGATCTAGGATCCCACAATATACTTTGAGGGCATGCCCCCTAATGACCTAGAGCCTCCCCCCAAGGGCCTTTCTCTTAGTGTTTCTACTACCTCCTAATAGTGCCATGTTGGGGACTAAGCCTGTGTAATACATGGGTCTTTGGCGAACATTAAAGATCCAAACTATTGCACTGAGTGCCATAGCCATTTCTAGTTGAAAAGGAAGATTGGGATATTTAGTTTCTGGCAAAGTGGAACAATATAGTTATGAATATGCATACCAATATTGATCAAATTTTGAGCCTAGGCATACCGCCACCCAGAATAAAATAAAGGTTCTGTTAGTATGGAAGAAGAGAAGAGGTATATTGAATATTAACCCACAATATTTGCCAACAATATATATTTGCTCAATAAATATTAGTTGACTACATGGTCTAAGAACAGGGCCAGCAACCTGCCATCACATGCAAAGGAATGTATGCCCTGGTTCAATGAATTACGTATTCAAAGGTACAAGTTGCTTCTAAGTTACAAGTGCTGGGAATCTGCACCCAGAATTGTACTTTGTTCTGATGAGAGCCACAGAGTACACATACCGTGGTTGAGTGAAATTTCATTCTTATTTGGATTCCAATCAATTTTGTCATTTCTCAGGGGCAGATGTTATGCATCAAACAAGTAACAGATTGTAGCATTAATTTAAACAGTAAGTAAGATTTAGTTTATAAGATGCTTACATTTATTGGAGGGAAAAATCCAATGATGTCACCCATGTACATTTTTTTTACCTTTTTTTTAATTGGTTGTTCAAAACATTACAAAGCTCTTGACATATTGTATTTCATACGGCCATACCACCCTGAACGCGCCCAATCTCGTCTGACCCATGTACTTTGAATAAGCAATTCAAGTACTTTCTATTAGGAAAAAATATTTCTAAAAAATGATAAAGCAGAGAACACCTATATACAAGGGTTCCACAGAATGGTGAAGACAATAGTGGTAGGTGACTGCTAATTTGGATCTGGAATGAACAGCATTAGTGATAGTGACAGGACTAATGTATGGTGGCAACTGAGAATAAAGCTGAAAGAAGAAAATTGAGAGACATGGACAAAGGGAGAATAAAAGGGTTGGTTGGGCAGTAGTACAGGCAGAGAACACTCCTGCTGCCTTATCCTTCACTCTGAGTTTGGTTTATTAGTTGTCTCTAAAACCTGGTGGAGGTCTATTTCAGGTGGTCACCGTGAGCTTGAGAGGTAAGTCATAAAAGAGAATCGTGACACCTAGAGTTGCAGTCTCTTACTTTAAGTAGCCACATTAGGCATGCACCTCCATGCCTGGCTAACCAATGATTTTTTTTAAAAAAATGTATCAATTTTCCAGGTGTGGGGGCATACCCCTGCAATCTCAGCAATTCTGGAGGCCGAGGAAGGAGGATTGCAAATTCAAAGTCAGCCTGGACAACTTAGTGAGACCCTATATCAAAATAAAATAAAAAGGGTTTGGGATGTAGCTTAGTGGTAGAGTGTCCCTGGGTTCAGTTCCCAGTATGAGAAGAAAAAAAGAAGGTTTTACTTTGATCACTACAGCAGAACTCATGTACTTCAGGGGTAGGTAGTTGAATGAAATGAGTGAGATGATGTGAAAGCCAACAAGGTGAATTGGAAGTGATGCTGAGCTTCCAATGTTTTGTTATTATAAATACTTGGAATGAACAGTTTTGGAATTCAAGTTATTTTTCCCACTTTAGAATATTTCCTTAAGGTATAGTTCCAGAGGTAAATTTACTAGATAAGAAAAAATGTGAATATTTTTAAACATTTTCATATACCTTGCCAAATTTATTTATCCAAGTGATGAGGGCAGCCACAGATCCTTCACAGTTCTTCAAATGCAAAGTGTGTGATCCACCAAGGGTCTAATGAAGGCCACCTTCCCACAGGCTGCTCCCAGCCAGTGACCTGATGTGGCAGGGATACTAAGCATCCCAGATTCTGGAAGAGAGATCTATCGTGGCTGGAGGGCTCCCCCTTTGTCTTGCTGAGTCTACCCTATACTGCCAGAGAGCCTAGGGTGCTCCTACTCACCCTGCCCTCCCTCTGCTAGGGGTCAGTCTGCATTGTGCTGAGACAGCTCTCTCAGCCTTCTTGGGCTCCCTCTCCATTTTCTCTCCCATGGTTCCTCTCATAAAATGCTTGTGTGCTTAATCCAGTTTTAGCATCTGCTTCTCTAAAGACAAGACCCCCTTGCAAACAGTTCTATTTGCTTTTCCACATTTCCCCAAGTAATTGATGAGAATCTTTTAC